TGATGACCAAAAGGTCATCACTTGTTTTTAAAATGAATTCTACGTTTCGAGGCCTTAAAAACCTCTTTTAGCTTCACCTCGATTTGCGTGCGCAGTCCGGGCGCGTAGCCGGAAAGCTATTATGTGAAAAATCTGTGAAAATATTGAAATTTTGGCTTAAAATGCATTTAAGTTGACTTCGATCAACATTTTGGGTAAACGGACCCGGACTCGTGATTTGAAGGTCCCGAAGAGCCCGTGGAAAAATATGGGACTTGGGCGTATGCCCGGAATCGAATTTCGAGGTCCCAAGTCCGAGAAATGAATTTTTAGAAGAAATTGTTTTCTGAAAATTATAAAGGTTTTTGAAAGTGAAATGTTATGTGAAACCTGTGGTATCGGGCCCGTATTACGGTTCCGGAGCCCGGTACAAGTTCAATATGATTTATATGTGTTGTCGGTAAAGTTTGGTAAGAAACGGGATCCATTTGACGTGATTCGGACCTTAAATGCAAAATTTGAGTTTTAAAGAAGTTTTGAGAAATTTCATTGATTTTGAGGTTTAATTCGTTATTTAAGAGGTTATTTTGGCGATTTGATCGCACAGATAAGTTCATATGATGTTTTTGAGTTAGTACGTATGTTTTGTTTGGAGCCCCGAGGGCTCGGGTGAGTTTTGGATGTGTTTCGGAAGGTTTTGAACTCATAAAAAGTTGCAGGTTTTTGCTGATCAGTGCCCAGGGATTTTATTCTTCGCGTTCGCGTGGGCCCACTCGGGAACGCGTAAGGCAAATCTCCCAGGTGCCAAATTTCTTCTTCACGAACGCGAAGCTAGTGACGCGAACGCGAGGCTAAATGGGGGATACCCTCCGCGAACGCAACCAAGCACTCGCGAACGCGTAAGGTTAAAGGCCTGGGGGAGGGGTTCACATTTTACCCTACGCGAACGCGACCACCTGAACGCGAACGCGAAGGCTCGAGGAGTTAGTGCTCCGCGAACGCGAGCCACTTCCGCGAACGCGAAGGTCTCTCAGGCCTAGCTCATCGCGAACACGATGAGCCTGTTGCGAACGCATAGTCCAAATTCGCCCAGTTATTTTTAAGTTCAAAAACATAATGCAATAAGGGAGTTTCACCATTTTTCATAAACTTCATCTTCTCCACACCTCTTGGGCGATTTTTGAAGAGGAACTTCACCATAGCTTCATAGGTATGTAATCCTAAGCTCGTTTTCTTCCATTTTTATCAACACCCACTAGATTTCTAGGCCTAAAACAAGAGATTAAGGGTAGAAAATTAGGGATTTGGGTAGAGTTTGGGCTTTTTGATTATTTGGGAATTTGACCTCGTTTTGGGGTCAGATTTCAAAATAAATTATATATTCGGGCTCGTGGGTGAATGGGTGATCGGGTTTTGGTCCGAACCTCGTGTTTTGACCAAGCGGGTCCGGGGTCGATTTTTGACTTTTTGGGAAGAATGATTAGAAAGTTATAATTAAGCATTGGAATTGGATTGTTTAGCGTTTATTGATGTTATTAAGTCGATTATGTCTAGATACAATTGATTTGGAGCCAAATTCAAAAGGAAAAGTGGTGTTTAAGGCTTGAGTTGGCCGTGAAAGTTTGAGGTAAGTGTTCGGCCTAACCTTAGCTTGAGGGATTAGGAGTTGTGTCCTATTTGCTATTTGCTTGTTGTTGAGTACGACGTATAGGCATGGTGACGAGTATCTATACGTTGGTTTCAAGCATGACCGTGAGTCTTAAATTGTGAATTATTGCGTTCTTATGTAATACTACAGATGCTTAAATCGATGATTCTCGGTATGGAGCAAAGATTTTAGATTGTTCTCGTGGAAATTACTTATGATTGAGTATTGGTGTTAGCTGAGGTAGCTAGATGTTGGAGCAAGATTGGTTATAGCTGTTTCTCCCTTGCCGAGACGTATTTACTTATACTGTCGATTCCCTTGCCGGGATAGTGTAGTTCTTAATTGATCCCTTGCCGGGATTCTTGTTATGATTGTTGTTGATGATATAAATGGATCGGGTTGCACGCCGCAACAATGTTATATTTGGATTGGGTTGCTCGCCGCAACAGTGATATAAATGGATCGGGTTGCACGCTGCAACAATAATATAAATGGGTCGGGTTGAACGCCGTAACAGTGATATGAATGGATCGGATTGCATGCCTCAACAATAATATTAATGGATCGGGTTGCACGCCGCAACAGTGATATAAATGGATTGGGTTGCACGCCGGAACAATGATACAATTGGATCGGGTTGCACGCCGCAACAGTGTTAAATTATAGGGATCGGGTTGCGCGCCGCAACAGTATTATTATTGATTGCTGTAGATCTTAAATTGTTCTCTTATATTTCTCTTAAATTACAGCTGGACTTGATATTTTCCCCGCAGCATGTACCCCCTCCCATATTTATTTGTTTATTGCTATTTTATTTTCCGCTGCATATTATATTACTGAACAGGTTTATCTGGAGTCTGGTCCCAGCCTCGTCACTACTTCGTCCGGGTTAGGCCAGGCACTACCAGCACATGGGTTCGGTTGTGCTGATGCTACACTCTGCACTATGTGCAGATCCCCGAGCAGCTTTTGGATAGTAGCACTTGGGGAGGCTGCCTTCAGTCCAGCTAGAGATCCCGAGGTAGTTCTGCAGGCGTTCGCATGCCCGGCGTTCTGTTCTATCTTATTGTGTACTCTGTTTTCATTTGATTTCGAGACAGATCGTATTTCTTTCAGACATTGGTTGTAGTAATTATAGTCCGTCCGTGATATTGTGACACCAGATTCCTGGTAGAGAAGTATACTGGCATTGTAGTACTGGCTTTGGTTATTTTATCTGTTTAAATCTTCCGCTTGTTCTGTTTATCGTTAATATTCAATGTTGATTACCTGTTAATCTATGTTGTTAAAAAGGGTTAAAATATGAGAGTTAGTGATTTCTATATTTCGCGGCTTGCCTAGCTTCTACGAGTAGGCGCCATCACGACTCTCGAGGGTGGGAAATCCGGGTCGTGACAGTATCAGAGCCATCTTCTTAAGGGACCTGAGTAAAAAAAATTATTGAGTGAGATGGAGATTGAAACGAGTTTTTCTCAATTGGCTCCTCCAATCTTTGATGGTGAAAATTATCAACTGTGGGCAGTGAGAACTTGGAGGCTTTAGATATTTAGAAGGCCATGGAAGAAGATTATGATGTTCTTCTGCTACCTAACAATCCCACCGTGGCCTAGATCAAGAGTCACAAGAAAAAGAAAATCATGAAATCAAAGGCGAAAGCAACTTTGTTTGTTGGTGTATCTGCAATAATTTCATGAGAGTTATGGCTCTTAAATCAGCAAAAGAAATCTGGGATTATCTAAAGGAAGAATATATAAGATATGAAAGAATGTGATGCATGAAGGTGTTGATTTTAATAAGGGAATTCGAGTTGCAGAAAATGAAGGAATCTGAGATCGTAAAAAAAAATGAAGGAATCTGAGATCGTCAAAGAATCTGGCATTGTTAACAAGGTAAGATTGCTTAGTACTAAATTTAAAGATTCAAGAATTGTTAAAAATTCTTGTTACAGTGCCTGAAAAATTTGAAGTATCCATAACTACCTTAAAAAATACAAAGGATCTATCCAAGATTACCTTGGTAGAATTGTTAAATACATTGCAAGAACAACTTATGAGGCAAGATGGTATGGTTGAAGGAGCCCTGACAGCCAACCACAAAACTCAAAGAAAGGGTAATAATGCAAAGAAAAATTACCCACCTTGTCAGCACTGTGGCCAAAAAGGTCATCAACCATTCAAATGTTGGAAAAGGCCAGATGCAAAGAGCAAAATTTTCAACCAACTTGATCATGAAGCTGTAATTTGCAAAGGCAAATCTCAAAAGCATAAAGCAGATGCCCAAGTCGCTTATGAAGAAGAAGAAGATCACTTATTTGTGGCAACGTTTCTTTCAACCAAGAAATTTGACTTTCGGTTGATTGATAGTGGTTGTACAAACCACATGACATATGACAGAACATTTTTCAAAGAGTTCACATCTATGAGAAATAAGAAAGTCAGAATTGGGAATGATGATTATATTCTTGCTAAAGGAAAAGAAATTGTTGCAATCGCAACAAATTCAGGTACTAAGAAAATTTCAGATGTTCTTTATATTCCTGATATTGATCAAAATACATTGTTTCATTTATGATGCAAGTGGACTTGAGATTTTAAGGGTTAAAATAAGAGGTAAAAACTTCTTATTTGATCCAACATAAGATAAAAAATAGAGCCAAAAGAATATACAAAGTGCAGACAATCCTTCAACTGAGGACATATGTGAAGATGAGGCAAAGAAGAAATTGTCAACATTTCAGAAAAATAAAATCTGGAAGAAAGTTGACAAGCCTCCAAGCAAAATGCAAATATGGAAGAAAGTTGACATACCTCAAGACAAAATGCAAATGAAGCCGAAAAAAGAGCCAACTTTTTTCATTGATAATCATGAGATGCAACAAACTAGAAAAGTGAACTCAATTTACTGCAAGTTCAAAGATCAGTTGGCAGATTTACGTACAAAGTCGCTTCTAGTTAAATGTTTACAAGGCATAAATTAAGAATTTGCAGCTTCAAAAACAAGGAGCATTAGAAATATACTTTAGAAGCTGCTCTTAGTAAAATTATTTTACTGTTTCAACTTAAGAGTTATTTACTGCAATAATATAAAAAATACTTTGTTGAAATAAAACTGTTGTTATCTTTGTGAAATAAAACTGCTAGTAGTACTCAAATTTAGAAGAAAAAAAAAAGAAGAAAATAAATATCTAATTTCCAACACTGGTTTACTGGTCCACTTGTAAGCATATCTGAGGCTGAATATATATTCCAGACACAGATACTCACTTACGCAACAAGGTTCATCACCACAAGACTCAAAGATTCACGTGGACCCCACTTATTAGAAATCCAACACGGCAGCCTTCTTCATATAGCAAGTATTAAAAGCAAAGCAAAAATACAACTCCTTTTCCTTCCCACAAAGATGGAAACTTTCTGCTCAAATTTTGATCTTGGATCATCAATCCCCTTTTCAATCTCCAAATCTTTGATTAATCCAACTACAAAATCATTTTTTTCCTGTAGATTTTCACCCTTAAATCATGGTAAAACACCAAGATTTAAAGGGGTTGTTCCACAAGCTTTAAGCAGAAAGGAGCCTATTGAACAGTTCGAGAAGAATGATTTTCTTGAAAAGAATGAAAATTTGGTGAAATGGGTAGGAAAAGGATTTGTTGGATTAGCTGCTGCTTTGTTTTTGTGTTGTAATTCTCCAGCTTTGGCTGAGTCTCTTACTGTTGCATTTCCTGTCTCTCACACACCTGAGGTAATCTATTCAATCCATTTGCTTTCTTGTTGTTTCATAAAAGGGGAGAAGGATGTTGGGCTAAAATAGCCCACAGCTACTTTTAATAGGATGTAATATTGTCCATTTTGCGCCAAGCTCGCACGGTTTTTCCCAAAAAGCCTCACACCGCGTTTCTAAGCTCGTAAGGGTAAGCAAAACGAGCCCGCACCATAATTCTTACCTGGCTCTGATACCAATTGTTGGTCTTAAATAGCGCACGGATGCTCTTAATATGATGTGATATTGTCCGCTTTGGCCAACCCGTACGATTTTCTTCAGTAGGCTATCAATCTTTTCAGCTACTAATGTGACACTTTGTTCGCACACCTAACAAAGAAAATTTTAGTAGCTGCTGAATTATGATTTAAAGTAGAATTTTATTAGAGTATTAGTTTGTTATACAGTTGAATGATTGTTAATTTGTTTGGTAGGTAAATACAGTTCAGAGGACATTAATAGAGGCTTGGGGTTTGATTAGAGAAACTTTCGTAGATCCTACTTTCAATCATCAAGGTAATTTGTTATCCTGTCTTTTCTTTGGAATTGGATGCCAAATCCTCATAAAATTTCATTTGCTATACTGCTAATTTGAAAGTAAAAAAGAAAAGGAAAAAAAAAAGAATAGGAAGCTGATAATGTTATTTTCTTCTCTTTGGTGTCTTGGTGTGTTAATTGATGCCTAAAGTTACTTTTTTTAGGGGTCGTTTGGTTTGAATACGGCTTATGCCGGGATAAGTTATGCTGGGATTAGTTATCCTGGTATTGTTTTTTATCCGTTGTTTGGTATGTTGTATTAAAAATGACAATTGCATAATTTCTAAGAAGAAGGTATAAGTTATCCCGGCACTAATTACCCCACCCTCTACAAGGTATAGGTTATCCCGGTACTAATTTTAATCCCGGGATAACTTATACCAGGTTTGCTTACCAAACGAAGTGTTAAGGTGGTATTAAATTTTTATACCAGCACTATGCCTTCTTATACCTCATACCAAACGACCCCTTAGTGAATTGGTAATAACCCCCATCCCTCTCTCACTTAAGAAGCATAAGTTCTGATTTTATGACATGGTTTGATTATTCTCTTTGTAAAGTAAACTTACATTCTGATTTTGGCTTATCAGCATGAAATATGTGGTTTGAGCTAAAGTGGTAAAGAACGAATTATTTTGCAGATTGGGACTTGAAACTGCAACAAACAATGGTAGAAATGTTTCCCTTGAGGTCAGAAGATGCTGCTTATAGCAAAGTCAGGGGAATGCTATCTACGCTTGGAGATCCCTATACGCGCATTATTAGTCCTAAGGTGTGTATTTGTAAGGCAGTCCATTTGCACGGGGGACATCTTTCTTATATGATTAAGAACAGAAATACCAATCTTTAACGCGAATGCTAGAAGTTTCATTTTGTTGTCATAACTTGTAAATGATCAACAAGGCATGCTTTTGATACCTTTACCTCTCTCTTAGACTATTTTCTCGTTCCATTTATCTCCACAAGATTTTCATATCTGTTCTTCTGATAAACAAACTGAAAGTTGGTTTGGGAAAAAAAATGGGACGCCATTTCTTGGAAGTTCCTAGTTCATAATGCTAGAGGATTAGGCTCTCGATTCAAATTGGTATATAAGTTATTAATCCAAGTAGCCTTTGTATTTTGTAAGGAATTTGTGCCATGTCTTCCCTGATTCCAAATATGACTAATAATTTGTTATTCTTCTATGACATTGACAATTTTTTCGACAGGAGTACCAAAGTTTTAGAATAGGAAGTGATGGAAACTTGCAAGGTGTTGGCCTCTTCGTCAGTGTTGAACCGAACACAGGGCATCTGGTTAGTAAGAATACTCGAATGCACTTGCTGTTTGCTTGCCATTTTTACTTTATTTCTGTGAAATGTAGATTGCTTAGTCATAAAATAGATTTTCTTTTTGTAGGTTATTGGCAATATTGTTTATCTCTTACTTCCTTATATAAATATGCTGTATAAGTGGAAATATCATTTTTAACAGTGTAGTTTATACTTTTCTCATTTGATCAAATTTCAGGTTGTGTTGTCATGTGTGGAGAATAGCCCAGCTGCACGTGCTGGTATTCGTGAAGGAGATGAACTGCTTGAGATAAATGGTACTACTTTTTTCTGCAGAACTTAGCAAATGAATGACCTATTGGATTAGAGATCTTACCTAGAGTTTTAAAATTGATACTTCCATCTTGTGGAGTAAACGGAGTTTCCTAATTGAAGGTAGTCGAGTGATTGCAGAAGCATTGTTGTCTTGTTGTAAAAGCATGCAAGATTTCTGCAGTATCAAACGTTCTTATCTAGTTATCAGAAGTTACTGTTCATTGTCGGGTACAAAAATGTAGTAATGGTCCTTATCAGTACACTACGGCTGCCAAGAGATGATGGCAGACTTATGAGCGGGATAGGCCAACATTTGTTAGTGAGCATCAATAAATTGTTAACCACAATATTTTGACTGTGCACTCCTCCATGTCCTTCAAACAGAAACCACATAAATTGCTTTGTTTATTTGTTTCTCAAAACAGCTGGATTAAAACTTGAATTTTGCTTGATATTTCTTCAGGGGAGACGCTTGATGGAGTTGACAGTGAAACAGCAGCTCAGAAACTGAGGGGCCGTGCTGGTACAATTGTTACAGTCAAAGTTCACAGTGTAAGATTGCCCTCATTTTCATTGAGCCAACTGAACGTCTTACATTCTCCACAACATTATTCGTGTAAACACAAGTCTGATTTATACAACCACAGCCGCCTGATTATAAATTGCCTGCACAAGGGCCTTCTGTGCCTGATTCTTTTGCATATTATGTCTCCATTCTCCTAATATTTCACCTTTTTTTTGTCGGGCAATAGTACTTGTTTCTTGAATGCAAATTTATTCTTCATCTAGATATTTATATTTTAGAAATTTCATGGAAGTGAATGCTCTCTCTAACTGTAAATTATTACATTTTTCTGTTCTTCTCTTGACCAGGGTAATGCTCCAGGAATATCTGGTTACAAAGAGGTATGTCGTTTAAACTGTATATTGTTATAGCTTTCCCCAATCAGAAGAAACAACAATCTTTATTCTTCGGTTTTTCTCAAGTACATGCTAGCTATTTCATGTTATCTAGACAATTTCCTAACTATCTTGATTAACATTGCTTATCTTTTTAGGTTAAACTACCTCGCGAAGTGATTAAGCTTTCGCCAATATCCAGTGCCATCATCCCCCATAAAATGCCTGATGGTCGTCTCTTAAAAACTGGATATGTGAAGTTGTCAAGCTTCTCTCAGGTAGTTAATCAGTCATCTACATTGAGTTGTAGATTATTCACTTGCCTTTGTCTTGTTGCTTTCCTTTGCATATCTTGAGTAAAGACTTCCATGTTTTTAATGGTGACAGTCTGCTGCTATGGACATGGAAAACACAATTCAGGAAATGGAAACTCAGGGTGTACAATCATATATATTAGATCTTCGGAATAATCCTGCAAGTTCCTTAATTCTCCTCCTCTTCAATTTGTATACTCTCAAAGTTAATCAATTCGCCCTTTTGTCATCTGACGTGTCTGTTTTATTTCTCTTTAAATATATTATGCAGGGAGGTCTGGTTACTGCCGGGCTAGATGTTGCCCAGATATGGCTAGATGGCGACGAGACACTTGTGAACACTATAGATAGGGATGGAAATATGTTACCAATTAGCATGGTTGATGGACATGCTGTAACACACGATCCACTAGTCGTCCTCGTAAGTTTAAGACACATCCTTCTCGTTCTATAATATAATACTCGTGAGCGTACTATGACTTTTTCATTTGAGCCGAGGAGTTTAGTAGTTGCGCAGAAATATTTATGCCTTAGATTTCCTTCTTGACAGGTGAATGAGGGCAGTGCAAGTGCTAGTGAGATTCTGGCTGGGGCACTCCATGATAATGGCCGTGCGATCCTTGTTGGGCATAAGACTTTTGGCAAAGGAAAGATACAGGTTTGGCTGGAACTTTGGATGGATACTAATCCTTCAACTCTAAAAAAAAGAGGGCAGTCTGGTGAACTAAGCTCCCGCTATGCGCGGAATCCGGGGAAGGGCCGGACCACAAGGGTCTATTGCATGCAGCCTTACCTTACATTTCTGCAAGAGACTGTTTCCACGGCTCGAGCCCGTGACCTTCTGGTCAAATGGCAGCAACTTTATCAGCTACGCCAAGGCTCCCCTTCATCCCTTCTACTCTATAAAAACTAAATTATTTTATACTAATTCCTATTGTCTTTGGGTGCAGAGTGTTACACAGTTGCACGACGGATCAGCTCTATTTGTTACAGTGGCCAAGTATTTATCTCCAGCACTTCACGACATCGATCAAGTGGGAATAACACCTGATGTTCAGTGTACAGTTGACATGCTTAATTCACCCAAAGACGCCTTCAAGAACAAGAGTCCATCCTCATCTTTGGAGGCTGATTCTTGCATCATTGTTGCAGAACATGAATTGGATATTCAAAAATCCGAGGGCTCTGCTTCTTGACTAGTTAGGAATACCAACAGTCTATTGCATTTGTAGCATACTAATCATTGTATAGTAGGAGATTTAAAATGGTAGGAATGGTTTATGAATATAAACTATATTGTATAGAAGTAAAGGTAACATAAGTACAATCCAATGATCATAAGCAGTATTCTTTTCGGTTCATAATAAGTGATTTTCGGCTATTGGCACACCCCTTAAGAAAATAGTAAGTCCTAGATTAAAAAAAAAGATAGTTTGGAAACACACAGTCAGGGCCGAAGCTAGAGTGCCGAAAGCGGGTTCGGTTGAAGTTGAACCCAGTAGTTTTGGATCGAACTTTGTATTTGTTTTTAAAAATTAATTAAATATGTATATATTATTAATTTAGAACCTAATATCTTAAAACGATTAATATCCCGAACCCATAAGCTTGGACCAAAGACTTCTAATTTGAGAGTAAGCACTGCATAATTTTCTTTCTTTAGTTTCTTCTTTTAGTCTATGGTACAGAACATTTTAGTCTTTGGTTGTTGGTTACACGGATGGAACATATGGTTAGTTGAGGAGGAAATATTTAAAAAAACGAAGTATTAGAGGGGTTGGCTGTTGAGGAAGTCAATCATAAATCTTTAAAACAATAATGTTTTACAAATATATTGAATTGTACGAATCGTCCGCATAAAAGTGCTAGAGTGGACACTTTTATTTACTTATTGTAATTTGATTTGAAAATCACACTTCAGCATTACAAGTTGCTTCATCATTAGAAGTCTGCTTTTATTTACTTTATTTATTTATTTAGGTCTATGATATGGCTATTGCTTAAGGGCTTGATCGCCTATCTTGAGTTTGATTGTATTTTAATTCATGCACTTGAAATTTAATCTAGATTTTGAAATTGAGCTAGTGTGTGAGCCTTTGATTATCGCCATGAGCAATATTTATGTATCGCCTCGCAAAATTTTGTACATATGCGAGCTTGCCCCATGTTTAATTGCATGTTAATTCACTTGTATTACATGTTTATTATTGAGAATAATGCATTTGATATGTTTGGAAAGGTGGTATGGAAAGAGTAAGGGGTCGTTTTGTTGGAATACGATTTATAACGGTATAAGTTATGCCGGTATAAGTTATATTGGGATAAGTTATGCTAGGATTGTTGTTTATTCATTGTTTGGTATGTTATATTAAGAATGACAATTGCATAATTTCTAAGAAGAAGGTATAAGTTATACCGGTGCTAATTAAAGAATCTTAATAATTGTAGGAAAAAGGATTGTTTCTATTACCTCAACCATGTACAATTTATATAGTAAATTCAGAAGGGTTCGAGCTAAATAGATAAGTACAACAGAGATATTCACAAGAGTTTAAGTGTGACTATAATTAGGACTCTAGCTAGTGTAGCTTAAGGTAAATGGATTACATTGATGAGAATGATTTGTTAGGCTTTGAATTATCCTTATCATGCCCCCTCAAGATGGGCTCAATCTCCTTGAGGCCAATCTTGTGAATGAATTGTCCAAATGATCGTTTAGGCAGTGCCTTTGTCAAAGCATCAGCAAGTTGACTCCCAGTAGGTATGTGACTTACTGAAAGCTCATTTCTTTCTACTTGATCGCGGACGAAGTGGAAATCAATGACCGCATGCTTCATTCGACTATGAAAGACTGGATTTCGACTTAAGTAGGTAGCACCAATATTGTCACAGAGTACCTTAGGAGGACTGAACATGGAAACATGCAATTTCTTCAGTAAGTTTGTGATCCAATTAAGTTCAGCTACAACAGAAGCAACAGCCCTGCATTCTGCTTCAGTAGACGATCTAGCAACTGTGCGTTGCTTTTTGGTGCACCAACTTATTGGATTATTGCCAAGAAGTATAACATAGGCAGAAGTTCTGGTGTCTGGTATACCACCCCAATCAACATCTGAGTAAGCTAGCAACTTGAAAGAAGTGGGGGGCGTGAAGTGAAGACCATAAGTAATGGTACCCTTCAAGTAGCGTAGAAGTCTCTTGGCTGCTTGCCAATGTTTCAGGCTTGGTCGATGCTGAAACTGAGCAAGTTTGTTCACTGCAAAACATATATCTGGACGAGTGAATGTTAGATATTGTAAGGAACCAATAACCTGCCTGAATAACTTGGCATCTGCAGATGATGATCCATCATCAAGTGAAAGAGGATCATTGGTTGACATCGGAGTGCTAACACTGTTCGCATCGAGCATGCCGAATCTTTCTAGAAGATCAGCGATGAAGCTGCTTTGGGTGAGAACCAAACCATGAGCATGTTGCAAGACTTCAACACCAAGGAAAAAATGTAAAGAACCAAGATCCTTGATGGAAAACTTGTCACCTAGTAGTTTGATGGTACTTTGGACATGAGAAGAGTTAGAACCAGTGACGACGATATCATCGACATAGACCATCACAAAAAGTAATGAGCTGGTAGTACATTTCAGGAATAAAGAGTCATCAGATTTAGCCCTTTGAAAACCACATGACAGAAGCTATTGTTTGAGCTCGTTGTAACAGGCCCTAGGTGCTTGACGAAGGCCATATATCGACTTATGAAGCTTGCATACATGTTGTGGAAATTTTGGATCTCTGAAACCAGGTGGTTGATTCATGTATACAACTTCATGAAGTGTACCTTGTAGGAAGGCATTGTTCACGTCTAATTGCCGCAAGGGCCACTTAAACGACACCGCAAACACAAGAATTAGACGAATTGTAGTATGTTTGATCACTGGACTAAAAGTGGAATAAAAGTCTACACCAGGTCGTTGATGAAAACATTTGCAACTAATCTCGCTTTGTAGCGATCCACAGACCCATCAGGTTTATGCTGGACACGATAAACCCACTTGAATCCAACTACATTTTGAGAGGGATATGGGGGAACCAAAGTCCAGGTGGAATTTCTCATAAGGGCGGTATATTCATCCTTCATGGATGTTTTCCATTCAGGATACTTGTTTGCTTGGGCAAAAGTTGTCGGAGCAAGAGGAAGCGATTTGGTGGAAGAGATAGCAAGATAGTCAAAGACAACTTTTGGTTTGAAGATGTTGTTCTGGGATCTCATGACCATAGAGTGAGTAGGAGCAGGTGGCAAAGTTTGTGGTGGAGGAAAAGGATATTGTGCAACAGGGGACATAGTGTTGGACATGCTTGGAGTAGAGGGTGAGGGTGAATTAGCTGAGGTACATACAGCAGTACTTGATGACACATCCTCTGCAGTAGTTGGAGAGGTAGTGATCTCTTGAGTAGTCCTTGGGACAACCAGGTCGATGGCTTGAGGTATAGGAGGTGGAATGCATGATTCATTGGTATAAGGTAGGGAAATTGAGGAGGAGGAAGCTACTGGACAGTGCCAAGACTCCAAGTTGGAGGCTGAAGCACGATCAAGGGAAGGGAAGTGCAACTTGAATGGAAAAACATGTTCCACAAAGACAACATGTCGGGAGAGAAAATTTTTTGAAGTCGAGAGATCTACGCAAGCAAAACTGTTAGTGACAGAGGAGTACCCCATAAAGACACAAGGTTTTGATTTTATATCAAGTTTGGAGCTAGAGTAAGGTTTAAGCCAAGGATAGCAAAGGCAACCAAAGACCCGGAGCTTGTGATGATTAGGTGTGGTATTGAACAAACACAGAAATGGTGATTTTAACTTGAGCAAAGGTGTTGTAGTCGATTAATGAGGAATACTGCAGTTTGGAATGCACTGGACCAAAATTTTAGGGGTACTGAGGCATGATGAAGTAAGTTTAAGGTAGTGTCAACGACATGTCTATGTTTTCTTTCAGCAGTTCCAACTATTTGAGGAGTATATGGAGGACTCATGAGATACTGAATGCCCATTTCCAGTAAGAGAGATTTAAGACCAATATATTCACCTCCTCCATCTGTGTATAGTGTCTTGATGGATGCACTAAACTGATTATGAATCATTCGAGTGAAGTTAATAAAAATACTTTTAACATCTGATTTATTTTTGAGCGGGAACAACCAGGTATAGTTAGTATAGTGATCAACAAAGATAACATAGAATCGAAAGTTGTCAAAAGAGGGAATTGGAGAGGGACTCCAAACATCTGAATAAATAGCATTGAATGGCTTAGAACTAGAAATAAAATTGTCACCAAATGGTAAACGATGACTTTTATTACATAGACATGAATTGCAGAAGGTAAAAGGATCATTAATTGACACTGGAAGCTTGAATGAGGACACACATGCTTTGGTGATTGAGTAGCAAAGTTGGCTTGTAGTGAAGGGGGTGAGACACTGATTGGTGGCCATTCGTAGAGATCACCTTTACTCCGACCTTGCAGAAGACATGCCCCCGTGCTCAAATCCTTCACAAGAAAAGAATAAGGAAAAAATTCAATAGATGTTATATTTTGACGACAAAATTGAGCGACAGAGATTAGTTTCTTCTTTGTATAAGGGGAATAAAGAACATTCCGTAACTTAAAAGAATTATGAGATGAAGAAAGTGTAGTGTGACCAATATGAGTAATCGGAATGGTTTTACCCTCTCCAACGATTATTTCATCAGTGCCGGGGAATTCTGTTGTGGCTTGTAGAGATTGTGAATTATTTGTGATATGGTGTGATGCTCCAGAGTCAACAATCCAATTGTTTGTGGGATTAGATGCATAGGACAAGCGGTTGGTGAAGTTGGCTTGACCCTCAAGTGCACTATGTGATTTTGAGCGACAAACTTTGGCGATGTGCTCAAATTTGTCACATAATTGGCATTGGACTCTCTGCTGGTTGCTACGGTTGTTGGGGTGGAAGGAGTTGGAATTTTGGAAGGAGTTGGTGCGTTGGTTAGTTGAGGTGTTCTGAATGGGACCCATGCGGTCGTTGCTTGGATTATAGTTCCTGGATTTTTGTTTGGGTAGGCTGATTTTTAATGTAACTGGGCAGTGATGATTGGGTTCTCAAGCTTTGGCTCTGAGTGTTTAATAAACATCTCATGCGCAAGCAATTTGTCATAGAGCTCTTCAAACGATATTGTGTTATCTCGAGCCCTTATAGCAGCGGATAGTTTTTTGTACTCAGATCCTAGACCACTTAGGATTTTGATGACAAGTTCCTCATTTGCGAGAGGTGAGCCACTGGATGCAAGATCATCCGAAATGGATTTAATATCCTTCATGTACTCACTAATGGAGCGTGAATCTCGTTTGAGATTAGCAAGAGTGTCACGCAGGCTGAAGATACGTGACTGGGATTTGTTGGCATAGGTAGTTTGAAGAATTTCCCAAGCGTGTTTGGCAGTAGCAGCATGTGCAATAAGAGAAGCGATTGTAGGATCGACTGAGGCCATGATAGCATTGCGGACAAGGCTATCCTGTCTCTGCCAAAGCTTGAACGCGGGGTTGGAAAATGCATTGTTTGCTCCATCTTGGATATGCACAGATGGAGAGGGAAGTGACCCATCCACATACCCAAGAAGATCATAACCAAAGAGAAGAGTTATGACTTGTGATTTCCAAGTACAGTAGTTAGAACTCCCTTGCAATTTCAAGGGGAGTTGGGATGCTGGATTGAATGAAATTAGTTGGGATGGCTGAGCAATGTTCTCATGGATAATTGTGACGGTGGGGGAAGTAGACGAGGTGGCTGAAGAGTGAGTTTGTGAATCACCCATTCTGGAAAAAATAAGGGAATAACTCGTGTGAGTTTTTTAAAAGGCTCTGATACCATAAAGAATCTTAATTTTTGTAGGAAAAAGGATTGTTTCTATTGCCTCAACCATGTACAATTTATATAGTAAATTCAAAAGGGTTCAAGCTAAATAGATAAGTACAACAGAGATATTCACAAGAGTTTGAGTGTGACTGTAATTAGGACTCTAGCTAGTGTGGCTTAAGGTGAATGGATTACGTTGATGAGAATGATTTGTTAGGCTTTCAATTATCCTTATCAATAGGAACTTGGGAAAATGGAGAAAATAAGAAATGAAGAGGAGTTCGAATTATTTTGTAGGTAAACTAGGTACTATTTTTCAAGTTCCAGTGTAATACTTAAGTCTAAGGAGAGATCTGCCAGCTTTGACTTGATATTATATTGTAAAAACAATCATGAAGAATAAAAAAATAACACAGAAAAATATTTCCTTTTCTAGTTGGTCTCTCTCGTAGAAATTAAAATATGTTCTATGAAACGAGTTTCCTTTATTTTGTGAAGCACGTGAGACTTTTTCCTTTGGATATTATTATCTTATAAAGAAACAAAGATTATTTTCATTTGATTTTTCTTTTTTCTCTTACTTTTTAATGAAGATAGTGGTGTCTGCTGCTATATTCTTTTCATTTTCTTTATTTTAAACAAAAATAAAAAAAGTGTCTGGATAGCAAATTACCTACTAGCAAAGGAAAGTAGCAAACAAGTGGCTTTATCTCATTCTATCTCTTACAATGGAGAGAGACAGCCATATACTATTCCATGGAACTGTTACCCCAAAAAATATAATGCCACATCTGTTTCACTGAATCATATCTCAAAATTACACACAAAAACTCACCCAATTGATTTGTTTGTGGTACACTTAACCCATATCCCTGCATCAGATCACTTCCTTTCTCCTTTCCCAAGTTCTCACATTTTTCTGTCATTTTGGCAGCTTTCTATTTTGTAATGTTTAATATATTTGGACCACTTCTTTTCACTTACCAACTGTACTACTTTTTCTTGCTATAGCTCCTTTTGCTTCCACTAAGGAGGCAAATATTTAACTTGTCTACTTGCTTCTTGATTGATAACAGTTATTATGGGGTTTCCTCCTATTTCTGCTCCTTTCAGTTGTCCTTTTTATAGTGTTTAATGACTTCCCTTTTACTGGGTTTTCAAGAATATTTCAGACTTAAGTTTTCCAACAGTTCTTGAGCTTGTCAAGTGTATTTTTGGTTATGGAGCTGAAAATTCAAAGTGGTTCCTTTGTGGAAGAGTAAAGCAGCATATTGGGTTTGTATGAAATTATTGAATTCTTGGAAAAATGGAGTCTTGGAGCTATCTATCAGGGGGAAAGGGTTTCATATCAGAGGAATCAGTTTCTGTAAATGATGGAATGGGGAGAGCTAAAAATGGATTAATGGGTTGGGAATTGAAGACCCCTAGCAGCTATGTTATGTGCTCAAGTCAAGAAGGTAGTACTAATAATCAAGGATTTCCTGAATTAGGTTCTCAAAATTTGATGAGAAAAACTATGTTCAGTGACCAAAGTTTTTTTGGTTCTGTGGCAGCTAGTCCTAGTGCATATTCTGGGGAAGATAAATCTAAGTCTAGTTCCAAGTTATCAAGCTCAGTTGTGGAATCAAACTCTAGAGATTCATCACTGATTGATTTGAAGCTTGGAAGATTTCCTGATCAAATAGATGCAAATGTTTACAAATCTCCCAAGATTATGCCTAATGTCTCTTGTGCTGAGTCCATTGTTCCAGCCAAGAGAATGAGAGCAGGAGGTGTGAGTTCCCATCCATTTTGTCAGGTTCAAGGTTGTGGGAAGGATCTCAGCTCTTGTAAGGATTATCACAAGAGGCATAAAGTTTGTGAGGTTCACTCAAAGACTGCTAAGGTTATCGTAAACGGCATTGAGCAAAGGTTTTGTCAGCAATGTAGCAGGTTAATACTTTGTCTCCAAAGGCAGAATTCTAAATTTGGAAAAGAAAAAATCTACTCCATTAGCCAATCATAGTGCAGGCTGTACAATCAATCTATAACTATCCCTAAGTCTTAAACTAGTCCATTTTAAACCTTTTCATCCCAAGCTACTTGTGTGTCAAATTTGTGAACTGTGTATAATCTCTTTTAGACCATACTTGTTCAACCTCTGAATAATTTGACTGATAATAGCATCTTTATTTGCAAGTCTTACAAAAATCAGCTGTTGTCTTTCTTCTTTTTGTTACAGTAGGAGATGTTCTCTTCTTTGCAGCTAATGGAAATCATTCTTGCTACTTTACTTGTAGGTTCCATCTGCTGGCTGAATTTGATGATGGCAAACGGAGCTGCAGGAAACGTCTTGCAGGTCATAATGAGCGCCGAAGGAAGCCCCATACTGGTATGCACTCGGGCTGTTTTAGTCATTTGCTTTAAAAGTAGTCCTTGGTTTTGCATATTATAGTTTCCCTCTCTAATATGAAACTCACTAAGATGCAGGACTACCAGTTTCTAGATTATTTTCTATAATCCATTTTTTAGTTAGTAATACATTTTATTGCCAAAATCAGCATGCGGAAATTTGTCCATGATTGAAGACTTGATCTCCTTTCTATATTGCAGAGAGTTAAAAATATTAAACAAGGTATCACAATGATTTACATCTTTCTTGTTACACCAAAAACCCAAGGATTATAAACATCTAGAATTTGTGTAACTGCTCTCATCTGAAGTTCCTTTTCTTCCCCACATTCCATACTATGCACATCGGAGAAGTATGGTAGTACCCACAGAACTTCGAGCTGCTATTTCATCCTCTGCTTCTCCAGATATTGGTAATATCCTTTAGCTTGCTTGGCGTTACCACTTCACTCCCAAAAGATTGATAAACATGCAACAGACTGCCAGGATACAGAACGATGTAAAAACATGAGGCTCCCACTGTTTTTCACATTTGTAGTATCCGTTGCTAGAGGCAGATTCAGGATTTAAACTTTATGAGTTCAAGCTTTAAGGTTCTTAATATTGAACTCATTATATCCTTAAAGTTATGGGTTCATACCTATACTTTACTGCAATTTTAGTGATTTTTTGCACATAAATTTGTGCTCCGCGTCGAAGTTATGGGTTCAATTGAAACCGGTGTTATAGGACTACATCCGCCCCTGTCCGCTGCAAGTGATGACCCCCCTTCTATGTAGTTTTCTTGAGTAAAACTTGCTCTATGCAAAGTAATCCATTTCTATCCGCTGCAAGTGATGACCTCACATTTGTTTTAATAGGATTCTCAAGGCCACTGATTATTTCTGCCAATTTTCTAAATAAAAGACTCTGCCAAGACTTAATAGAAACAGCCATCCTTTTCTGCTTTCCAAACCAAACTATCTGTTTTTGGAGATAGCTCTCTGATCCCTCAAGCTTTCCTTTGTAGGTGAGCTAAAAGTTATTACCAATCATAAAATTCTTCCTGAATTGAGACCCCATCTACCCCCAACTAGCTTGGGATTGAAACATATTAGTTGTGTTATAGTAGTTGTATCGTACATCAAATAGTATAAATTTGTTTAATCTAAATATTGTTATGTATCATGGTTAATGTCAAACCTCAAACTCTATATGGATGTATTTAGCACTTTCTTTTTTTTTTTAGAGAAAGCAGTACCATTTTTATCTGACGTATAACAACTTGTAGAAAATTTCTTTCAACAATAATATTTGAAATTTGTGATAGTGAATACATTTGAATTATTGTTCTAAACTTTAGAATTTGTGTTTATTCACATGGTATAAATAATGCTTATCAATCAATCAACAAACTATGCTTCAATTTCAAATTCGTTGGGGTTGTCTATATAAATCTTCTGTTTCATGCTGCTCTGTATGGGCTCATTTTATTCCAATCCTATAATTTTTTTGTTAAAGGTAAAATAGAGGCTCTCCAAATTAAGGTTCTACAGATCGTACACTTATTTTTGGATTGATGTAGTGTAACAACAACTAAGCCTTAATCTCAACTAGTTTGTCATTCCTATATGGATCTTTGACTTCATTGTGTATTTAGTTAGAAGGGGAGCTTTGGAGCAACGGTAAAGTTGTTTCCGTGTGACCTATAGGTCACGAGTTCGAGCTGTGGAATCAACCACTGATGCTTGCATTAGTGTAGGCTGCCTATATCACACCCCCCTCAGGGTGCGGCCCTTCCATGATCCTCCTTGAAGGATGGATGCTTCGTGCATCAGACTGCTCTTTTTGTGTATTTAGTTTAGTTCATACTGATTTCAGATTGAAGGTCATTTCACAGATCTTCCTCCATGTGATTTTAGGTTTGTATCATCCTCATTAACACATTTAATCATCATAGTGTAACACCTACGAACAGATGCATAAGGAGGTCTACTTAGAACATAAGAAAACCATCTTAAGCGACATTCTCTCAGTTTATCTTCTATGTGCTTGCACCTTTATTGTATGTGATCATTTTTATCTTGTGCAATCTTGTAGGACTGCTCATCTATCTCAATACTTGTATTTTTAAAAAATTCATCTTGTAGATATATTGGGCTGTAAAAATCCAAACGTCACTCCCAAATAACATTGCTAATACACAACATTCATACAACAATGCTAGTCTCAGAACTATTCTGTAAAACTTGCGATTCATTTTTAGGTATCTTATTATTGCATAATTCTCCTGCACTTCTCCATTTCATTTATCTTATTTTAATTCCATGTGTCACATCATCTGTTTGGCAATTCTCCTGAACGACCGACTTGTTGTTGAATTGTCAACATATAGGTACCACAAATCTTTTAACATGGGCTAAAGTTGCAGTGCATATTAAACTACTTTAATAGTAAAATATCCTTTACTTTTTACCTTATCAATTTTTATTGCACTAGTTTACAGTGTGATGTTTGTATCTTGTGTCCTTTCATATCTTTCTCGTTTGGCATGTTGTATTGGAGGGAATTTTATATCTATGAAATATTATGTTTCTTCCAAGCGAGTTCTGGACAACCAGGATTCAGCGTTTTTGTATTTCGTGAAATGTTTCGAGAAAATTTAAAATTCATCTGTACTGTTCCATTAACACACTCCAGGTTTTTGCAGGTACCAGATTTCGAGGAACTTCTTTTGCGACATCATCCTTTGCTTGCCAAGACATACTTGGTGGCCGCTTTCTGCATCAACCAAAATTTGAGATGAATGACTGGTATAAGAATGTAAAAGGTGAAGATGGTGTTGAACGTAGCCCTCAACTTGCCATGCCCTTTTCAAATGGACAGTTGCAACCAAAATCTGTTTTCACGTCATATCATGCCAAGAAACAGTGTCAACCTCTCCATGATGAAGGACAACCTGATGTAACAACGAGCAGAATTAACGAGAGTACCATCTCATCTCTGCATGATATGCGAGGATCAGATTTTGTTTCCCCTTCTTTGTTCCACACCACCTCATCTGGATCTGAAGTCTTGCATGTTTTGGACACATCTTCTACTATTCATGGGCTATCAGGGATATCAAACTCCAGCAATGCTCTCTCTCTTCTGTCATCTCAATCACGGGGCTCGTCAAATCATTCCACTGTTTTTCGTGCCGCTCATCCCCTGATTTCCCCAAGCAATAATTCACGTTACAGTGTGACTCAAGCATCTAAAGAAGTCCTGGGACTTAGTCCTCAGGATTCAGCAGGTAGAATGTCCAACACATTCAATTCATCTGGGGTCAATTCTGCAGAAGGTGGACTGGACCAGATACTATTTCCTAGCAACACTTGTGGCGTCGATGGGATCATTCAAGGACCAAATTTTGTGAACCACAAGGATCAACTTTCTTGTGAAGATGGACCCACTATCGATTTGCTCCAGTTGTCATCGCAGCTTCAGCGTGTGGAGCATCAAAGGCTTTCCATGCAAGTGAAGCAGGGCAGCAACACTTTTCCCGGCCTCAGAATCACTTGAGCAGGTAGAAAAATGAGATGTATCACTATCAGAGTTTTGCTTAACTATATCTCATGTTTTTTATGGTTGTTGAAATATCTTTTCTCTTTTAGCTTCAATAACTATATGCCTTGCTGTTGTTTTGGCATAAGACTTCGCCAGCTGGATGAATTATCACTTTCTTGTCAAGCTACCACATTCTTAGATTGTCACCTACAATTATTTTTCATATTTCTTATTCATATGCACCTCCATGTTACCTGCTAGGACTGTGAAGGCGTCAGATTAATTTTTATTGTCAACTTCCAATAATGGCTGATCATATCTTAGTATTGGGCGTCCCATATAGATGCTCATCTTGTATGCAAAAGCAGGAGGCCTGTAGATTTTGTAACAATGCAGCTGGGATCTGAAATTTTTTGTGCATCCTTCTTGTTTTACTCATTCCGTTTTTCTTTTCTGAGGTCCAGTAAGGCGTATAATTCTTCTAGTGCCTCTGGCAGATTGTTACTAATCTGTCTAATAAAGTTGCTAGCATCATTAGTCCACACAAATGACTATTGCATGAGTAATATTGCCTTAAATTGAACTTGCTGTCTGCAGATTCAAATATCTGGATTGACGTGAAAATGGTTGGCTGCTGAACAGCTAAAGTGTGCAGCAACTCAGGCAAGAAGCAGCCAGCTTTTCCAGCTAACAGAGGTGGGAGCGTTGAGAAGCAAGTCTTTGGAATCTTGATGTTCATTTCTTCATTGTTGTTCATCTCTTTCTCATTTTGATACGGACAACTGTTCCTCTCGACACTGTCTTATTCAATAATAATCCGTTCTTTCTTTTGGATAATTGACAAAAACAATCATGACTAGTAGTCAAGTTGGTTTGCGTACAGAATTATCCAATCCTTTTTCTAGTGTTATGTGCTTCATTCCTTTGGTATGGACTAGTTGCTCGGGGTACTTCATGAACAATTTGATGAATTGCATGTGCTCATGCAAAGAATTGCGTGATCTGTGTGCTTTGGAAACTTTCTTTTTTTTGTCGATTCGTCAAAGAGTATATGCACAAAATCATGATATAGGTGAAATGGTGTGAATTTTGGTCGACCGCAGAAGAAAAATATGCCCCTACCTATCTCCCAACTTTCTTTTTTCTTATGTCAAAGAAGAAATTTTAATGCTGAGGGCCAATGGTCCGCGCCATTAAGGTGTAATATTTCAGTCATAAGCTTTTAGCTAGCCAATTATGGAACATTAATAGTGTGATATTTCTAAAGACATTGAAGGACCAGAGAATCAAATTGTGGTATCTGATTCACTATCTTCCGATTCCAGGTCGAGGCTGTGTTGATTGATATTGTTATGTTTCATCCCCAGATATAGCAAGACTACCAAGACTCGCCATTGATGAACTGCAGGGCGATAGTCCTTATTGATTCGTATGGTGTCATTCTGTATTTGTTCAAAATACCATGTAATCCCTATGTTATAAAAATTATGCGTGGGAAGACAAACAGCAAGTCGTTGTAGTATAGTGGTGAGTATTCCCGCCTGTCACGCGGGTGACCCGGGTTCGATCCCCGGCAACGGCGATCTTTTTTGTTTTTCATCCCGAATGTCTACGTCAAGCTTTTACACTCTTTTCCATTTGAAAACATTTTATTTCCAGAGATCTATGCGAACTATAATTTCTTCACAATCTCAATATTTTGATCAACTTAAACTCCTATTTTCCCACCCGTTTTGCCTATCTATTTACCTGTAAAAATAGAAAAAGAAATGCCAATCTTTTTGCTACTTTATATCTTCCGTGTTATAACCGACTGTTACATTCTATTTCTCAAAACATCTTTTTCGTTTTAACAATGTTTGCTATTATTCCTAATTGATTGTCTAGTCAATCGTATATGTCTAGGTGTTCCATATTCAGAAAGATTTACTAATATTATGGCGTTCCAATGTGATGATTTTTCTTCGGCCAATCTGTCGTTTCTCTTTTGATTTTTCCATTCAGAAAGTTTGCTCTTGGCTTTGCATTACGGAAATTTTGAGAACACAACAAAAGCCAACTTGGTGAAGAATATGCTTCTGAAATCCAAAACAGCCGGCAGGTAGGAAAAAAATAATAGTTTTGATTAAATTAAATGGCATAGTCGCATAGATACTGTCCTCAACTCTCCGGACATAACAAGATTAACAACCTCCGTACTACAAAATATAATTAAAAGGACAAAAAGCTTGAACTGAGAAGACGATGATAGTAATACAAGCACCTATAACCAAGGTGAATTATGAGTTAAAATACTCTATTGAATTTATCTTATTTTGAGCTGCCATTGTGTAATTTCACAGCAGCAGACGCGGCAGATGGGTTGAGCTCATCCCATGCTTCAATCCATGTGATCATAGCATCTGCCAGCTTGTTAAAGTAATCATCCACTTTTCCAAGTTTTGCCTTCACTTGTTTGGAGAGTTCAAGGTAGCATTTCTGGACGGAGGTGCAGTCCTTTGGAAGGGTAACAGATTGGAAGAATGGAATGAGCTCCTCTTGCCAGTAAATACCCTTGTATTCCTTCTTCAGGTTCACAAATGGATTGCTGGCCTTGCTGTGCCAGATGTATGGTAGACCTGTCTTGACTCCCAATCCTAAGTGATCACAGATCACCTGCACAAACAAGAAATTCCACTTCATCTTTGGTGTAAAATACTAAACGACATAACACAGAAGGCAGTATCAGAGGCGGATGCAGTCTTTGAACAATGTGTTATGTGTGTGAAAAACCATTAAAAATTCAACAAACATTTGATTGTGAACCGATAACTTTAAAGCACAATAAGTTCAGTTCAATCTATAACGATTAAAACTCATTAAGTTTAAATTCTGAATCTGTCTCTATAACAACAACAATCAGTGTAATCTAACAAGTGGGGTCGGGGAGGGTAGTGTGTACGCATACCTTACCCCTACTTCAAAAAGGCAGAGAGGATGTTTCTAAGTAAAAGGAAGGGCAACAACAAGCACACCAAAGCAAAAAATGCAATACCTTAGTGCACCAACCAGCCCACATATCGTCGTAGCGTCCAATAGGTTGTCCATCGCCCATGAGTCCAAAGTACATAGCAGGGCCAATCAACTCACGGTCGAATGCCAAGTTCATGCCGCACATGGGGAAGAGGGTTCCTTTTGGGATTGTCATAACAGCATCAACATACCTGAAAAACACAACACACGAGTTAAGACCTTGGCATTAAGGAGTCAAGATCAAGAAAATCTAAGTGTAGGATGGCATTGATACCTGGTGTTCCTTTCAAGAGGCTTGACAAGCTGGGTAGGTGCATCATAATCAGGGATGTTGAGCCAGAGACCATGTGAAACTGCAGTAGGTACGCCTTCACGGAGACTGAATGGGTACCCACGCACAAAATCTGCGCCCTCTCTGTACGGATCATACAATGTGTTGAAGAAAAATGGACTTGATGGGGACAACAGATTTTTAATGTGTTGCTCAAGTGCATTAATTTCCTTGCCAGTTGGGTCTTTAGCTACCTGCAAATTAATAAAAAATACCAATCCATTAATACCACTTACACCACTTCTCTCCTCACTTTAAAGCACTAAAATTGAGCAAGAGACCTGTTACAAAATCTTGATACTCATAATCAAAGTTACACTACTATGGAAATATTTCCTTTTCAAATGAGTAATCAATTATATCATAAAGATACACACCCGGAGCAATTAGGAGACCAGCATTTGACACAATGCAACAAAATTTATCTTCACATATTCAGAACAAGTCACAATTAAGAATTCACATCAGATCTAGTCTTATACTCCTATGAAACAACTAACGAAGATCAACACATCATTCCAAATCTCTTAAATAGGTTAGCAGATCGAGCGTCCAATCCCCAAAAAATGGGAGTAAGAAATCACAATTCAATGTGTCATACTGGACGGATAACCAAATTCAAACCAAAATCCACTTTTTATAACGCTTAACAACATCAAGTCAGAAATTAAAATCCAATCTTTGACATACAAAATTCAGCAGATCAAAAACCTACTAGAGCAGTAAATACACAAGTAAACACAATTTCAAAAAGCGGTGGCACAATCCAAAGGAATTATTTTAAAAGAGAGAAATCTTACAAAGCAATCGTCGTCAATGGTGTAGATGTACTTCTTCTTGGAAACCATATAACCAAAGCAACGGCAAGCGGAATCCTTGAAAGAGATACAAGAAGCCTTAGGACCTAAAATTTTGTTAATGTCATTACGATTATAAAGCTCGTAATCAAACCCTTCAGGAACCTTAATGACCTTAGAAGGGTCACCATCTTGAACAATAATAAGATGATAAGACTGGAAAAAAGGCCTCCACTGCTCAAGGAAATCAAGGTTTCTGATAGTGGGAATAACTATGTCAAGCTCATCTTTCAGAAGAGGGGTTGGAGCAACTGAAGCAGAAGCTTTTGCCATTTGTGTTAATGGAAATAAATTCTGAAGAGGTGTAAAGAAGAGGGAGTTTATATAGAGAAAAATAAAGAGAAGTGAAGAATGCAAAGAATTCAGAGGGAAGGGGTGGTGCCCATGTGGTGTCCGCGTACAAGTGAAACTCCTGAATAAAGAGAGCGGTGGCACGTGATGTAACCATGTCATCAAAGCGTTACTTGTCAATTAGAAAAAGGTAGAATTATCTAAATGGCACCTGTACTTGTGCCACTTTGTTATGCCGGTCCCTCTACTTTATATGTTTTCATCCAGACATTTTTACTTGATCAAAACTTATATTTTAAACCATTCTGACCGTTGACCAAGCGTATGTGGCGTTTATTTTGCTGAGTCAAATGAAGTGCGTGGTCACACGCTTTTAAAAGCGGGTGAATATACTGGGTTTGATTAAAAAAAAATATTAAAATCAAAAGAAACAAAAGGCCTCAAAGGCTCATTACGTCAACCATTAGTAATTCTCTTGGGTGATAATTAATCAACTTATCTCCATACAAACAAAAGTGAAATTTTTCTTCTTCCCCATATCTGCATAAAGAACAAATATGTTAACTATTGTCAAAGTAATACAGAAACATCAAAATTAGAAGGAAGAGCGCGTATTCAAGCGAAATCAAATTCTGGCCAAATTTTTTTCCAAGATCTGGTAGTTTGCCTAAGTTTATTTGGGATCTAATAACATAAAAGAAAGAGCGGAAGTCGCCGGCCAGTGTTGTGGTGGAAGGAAGGTCCCGAAAAAGTTATATTTCCAGCTAGATCTAATTTATTCGGCTGGGTCTAGACCTGTAAAAAAACTAACAAACTGTTAGAGAAAATAAAACAGGGGGGAGGGAAGATGAAGAAGAGAAACGACAGAGATAGAGAGTGAAGCAACAGTCACCAGATTCTGAGGTGGGGGTGAGTTTAACTGTGTTCGAGCTCCCAAGAAGAGTTTTATGCTTGGGAAAAATCATGATCTGATTTTGTACATTTCGTAATGGGTTTTATAGGAATTGTAGGAAGAAAAAAAGAGACAGTATGATTTCTCATCGTGGGAGAAGCCATGAAAGGTGCTGGGTTAAGCTTGAAAGATGAAGAACAGATGAAGAATTGGTTTGGGGTTGGGGGGAGGTTAATAATCATTTCCCGTTTTATTTTCCTACGTGTCCATAATAAATGACCTGGAGCCTAAGTGGATTAATTTTCTTGACGTGGCATCCTACGTGTAGGAGATTGTATTACACGCACTGAAAGCCTCCTGTCATAAGCGTTTATTATACACAGTTTGAATGAGTATAAGTGTTCAATTGACAAATTGTTAAGTTTGGGGACCGGCATGACAAAGTGGCACAAGTATAGATGCCATTTAGGCCATTCTGCCATTAGAAAAAGGGCCGGTCCAACCCGATTAATACGCAACAAATTT